CGGAAGGAAGGGACAGGAAGGGAACGGCACACGAGACGGGGCCCAGATGAATTGACATTTAATTATTGTGTAAATCATAATTTTGTTTTTTCCATGTCGATTCCTGTTTTTAAGCGCTGCGCTCCGTGGAACAACCGCATTAAATACCCGTTTAAACGGCTTCACATTCATTGCATTTCATTTCATCACGAGGATTTAAGCCGCAGCCCGATACGACAGAAATCTTGTGGAATACTTTATGGCTGAATGTTAAATTAAATGCAGATTCCGGATTTGGAGACATCAAAGAAGATTTAAGTGTGTAGATGGGTTTTAGTCGATATCCCAAACTAAACGTGTTAACGGATTCCAATCCTTCAAATAATGAAGTTTTAAGTGCTCTATATTTAAGCTTGGTTCAATACAATTGCTCAAAGGAAAAAATAAATATTTGAGTAGCTTTTACCATTGCAAAAAATATAATCAAATGAGTTATTTTTCACAGTTTATCTTGATAAAAAATATAAAAAAACTCGTTTCCTAGCACTGTAAATATAATCCAAATACAAGATATTTTATTAATTTTGCCCAACTAAGAGCAAATGTATATTTTAAACACATCGAGATACTACTGTGCACCCATATCTTATCTGCATCTGACCCATCGTCATTTATCTAGGTTTATTTGCCTTTTTTAACAACTAAGACATGCAACAGTACATTTTGTTGCATCACGTAGCTAAATGATAATAAATTAATTGCAATATTTAAGACCCGTGCACAAATAATGTAGTCTATTATTAGACACATATTCGCATATTCAAAAAATATAATAGAATGCAAATGATATTTTTTATTTTTTTATAAAATTCCATAAATGTTTTGAAAACGAACAAAAAAGATTGTCGTTTTTTTCTTCTAAAAATTTAGCTCTTTTTCTAAAAACCTTAATATTACAAATATAAGACGCGTTGCCGAGGAACACCTTTTTTTTATGGGAGAAATATATACCTAGATATAATTCAATTGATACATTTTCTATAATTTGAAGGGAAACAGAGAAACAGAGAAATTATAAGGAAATGCAAAACGAAACACACGGAACAAAAAATATTCCCTTATACCAAAAAAGGTTATTATTTATAATATAATTATTGTACTTGACTTTCTGGTGCCCCAAGTAAAACATATAATTTAGGACAACAGTCACTATTTTCGGAAACAGAATCATTCAAGAATTAAAATTGTAAGAATATCTGTTCCTAATTTCTTTTTAAGTTGTTATAATTCGCGAGCAACCACTATTAAAGAATCTGAACTATTAAACAGGCAAACGCTTAACAAGCTCATCGAATGGGGCACAGTGGGGGAATTAAGGAACTAATTTTCCACAGTTTGCCGTGAATGCACGACTTTGTCGAGACTTTGGAATGCAAAGTGACATTGGAGCAGAACTAACGCGGCTCAACTAATGTTTGCGGGCACAATGTGTACTGTAAGCGCCGAAGAACTGTAGAACTAAACTGAACGTCATGTCAAATTGATTTAAATTAATTGAATTTACAATTTGTTGCCGCTCGGGGTCTAACAGCAACTGCTTCGAACTGATGCACTGCGAAGCGAAGATTGATTAAGTCGAACGTTTCAAAAGTAAATCGATTGATTCTCAATACTTTGTTGTTCATAATTGTGTAGTTCTTTGAACTGTTCATATACCTCTGTGCCGTTGAATAATCCGGATCCAGATCCAATTAAATGCTGCTACACACGTACACGCACACACACACACATGCATTTGTGCATGTGTGCTGTAAGCTCAAAAATCCAAGTCACGCGTCTTGGGGGCAGTGAAGAGACGAGAGCGCGCACAAGAAAAAAACAAAAACGACACGAAACGCATTTGGGAAGATGCGCGCGACGCGATTAAAAGTGGGGCCCGCTTGGGCGAGGGGCAGGCGGGTGGCTCAAGCGCAAGGTAAAAGGCAGGGCCAGAGACGGCGCCGCCAACAACACTGGCACCGACAAGTGACGTCAAAGAGCGGCTTAAATTCACTTAAACACATTAGTAGAGAGGCACTTGGTGTGGCTTTTTGGCTGTAGCTTTATTTTTTTATTTTAGCCTTTTGTTTAGCTTTATATCTTTCCTCGTTAAATTTCAGCTTTAAAAGCTTAAGAGCACAAATGGATGATCGACTTAATGCGCGACTGCCTGCTTGTTAAGTAGTCTCAGCTGTTTCATGTGTTGTTCTTGTTGTCAGAGCAAATAGAGCGAATTGTTATTGTTGTTGTTGTTAATATTGTTGTTGGTATTGTTGTTGGTATTGTTGTTGTAACTATGTAGGTTTTGTTGCTGTTATTGTCATTCTGTCGACTTTAGACGTGAAGCTTTCGCTTTATTTCGCTTTGCAATTGTACAATTTAAACATTTTCAGGTATTTATTGTAAACATCCAATAAATTGAGAGCAACGCGTCGCTTCATGGTCACTGCGGTGGTCTCTGCTCACACACACACACACAAGCACATATATATATATATATATATGTACAGACACACACGTACGATCACGATCAAAGCGATGGCGGAGCCCCCAGCCCCACGTCGGCAAGACGGGTAACGGGTGACGGTGTCTGGGGCCACCGCCACCAGCTGGTTGCAATTATAGCGAAGAACTGCAGCCGCGTGCAAAATTCACTAACTTCAATTTGTATTTGGTCAGCACAGAGAACGATGGCGGCGCCAACTTGCACTGAAGTCGAATGGCTCCCTACAGCAGGCAGCAGACAACAGCGCTTATTCAATTGTTTGCATTAGCCTTGCACTCACGTTGGCCACTATCGCGACCACTGGCCGTCGCTTGTTGCTGCTGCTGTGCGAAATCGTTGCCAAAGCACACGCGTCTTTTGCAGTCGCCGTTAACTCGGTATTGGTAATATTTTTAGAATTTCTTTTAAATGGGGGCTATAAAATTATTATTACACTGTTTCGGCACAGACGAGCGATATTTACATTTAGATTTACACGCCGAACTAGAGCTCTCAACTTACCGATGACACTATCGATATAGAAGTGTCGATAGCCTTGCGACCACCATCGAATGCAAGCACAACTATCGCGATATATTTGAATGTTCTGCAATCAGCCAATTACAACCCTACATAAGGTTGACAGTTTAAAAATAAGTACATATGACAAACAAACTCTAAATATATATTCTATTCCAATTAGCTTCTATTTAAAACTTAAGCAAATATTAGCCATGTTAAATTACTTTTCCTAATTTATTGAAATTAATTAAGGTATTAATATCCTATCGATATGAAAGGCATCACAATACCATACATTTCGATAATGTCCGCTCACAGAAACACCCCTAATACATTCAATGTATCGATATATTGAAGTTCTATTGGACAGGTGTAGTTTGCATAATAGCACTGTTGCGCGGTAAATTTTAAGTCAATTTGTTTAATAAATAAATAAAAATTGTAGCAGTGTCTTAGCTCTCAGCAGCTATGGAATAACATCCGTTTACTAAAGAATTATCGCCAATTTTGTATGTTCGGTCTCTACGCCAACAATATTGCATTGCCATTGCATTGGTCGCTCAGCGTTCATCTTCTCGGCAATTGCACCATCCACTAGAGAATCCTAATTTATTAATTTATCTCTCTAATTTATTATGGCACTTTGTGCCAAATCCCGTATTCATAAGCAAAAAAAATTAATTAATAAAGTAATGCAGAATGAAATTTTATGTTTTTTTCTTAGCCTTTATCATATTTCGATTGATTTGATTCGAATGATGATGCTGTGGGCACCCACATCTATAATCTATAACATTTACTCAAATGTTGTTAACAGTGCATACAATTTTCGGAAATCAAATACCTTTACTAACATTGCAATTATATTGGAAATATTAATATGAAAACAATAGCCACACGAACTTTGAACTTGTTGTTTAATATTCCGAATGGCGGTTTCGTGAACTTGTCTGTTTTGACCCAGCCCTTAATATAATATTTTGCAAAGAAATAAGTGTTTTAAGAAAATGCACACAGATATGCACACAGTCTGTTTTAGCCATTAATTTGTTAATTGTCATTCTGTTATGAACTATTATTATAATTATTTTTAATAATTTTTTTTATTATTACTGGACAATTACACAATCAATAGTAAGTCCTACCAACCCATTATCGAATCAGGACAAACACCTGCTTGCTGGAATAAATCAAGGTTTTATCTCTCTTATTGTCATATTATTCAAAATGTTGAAACCAGCGCTCTGCTGTTGTCGATATATTTTCGATAAGTTCAGCAATCCGATAATTTTATGGTATCGAAAATAGCCAGTGTGTACACCCTTTTATCTCTATATCGAGTCTGGCATTCAGATGTGGTGGCTAAGCGATAGACATCGACTTTGATTAATTGCGCGCCAACTTAAGAGACTATTCAAAATAAATAACTCATCAAAACTTTACTTATTGCAGTACTTGTTCATTATACGTCAAAAAATCAAACAAAAGCAAAATTTGTTCAACAAATTGCTGCGAAATGAGAACAAAAAGTATGATTTTAACATTGTTATTCAGTGGTAAGTTTTTTATAATTGTGATTCAACGAATTTTGCTAACCTCTTTAAAAATTTACGACAGCTTTGCTCCTACAAGTCGAGGCAGTCGAAAGGGGCGCAACTGGCAACCAGTCTAATATCAGTCGTATTATTCAAATTCTTAAGATTCCAGAATCAAATGAGTACAAGATAAATAATATCACCAGCACCAGGACAACAAGTGAAGCGAAGAGTTTCAGTTCTGTTTTACGAAAATTTAAGTCAACAAATCGCACAAGCCACGATTCCGCTTTTAAATATTTTCTAAAGTTTCGCACGCGTCGTGTCCATTATACTCCACATTTCACATTCCTGAAACGCTTCAAACGCAAAATGGAATACCCTCAAACACATAATCGGGTTAAATTTGATATTCTGCACATTAAGCCCCATTTAGCTGTGCGATTTGAGAAAAACAACTATATTGTCTTGCAGGGAAAACTTCATGAGATGCTGCATGGAAAACACTTTTCGCCAAAACTGAGCGTTGTCAAGCTGCTGTACGCCATAGTCGATCGATTCTGTGAGTAACATCCAATATCTGGTTGCCAACTAAATGTCAAATTTATACAGGGACTCCGCCTTTGGGTCGGAAGAAACCCGCTCCAAGTTGTTGCCCCCATTGCTGTGGAAAGTCTCGTCATTAGCTTTTAGTTGGAATCAAAGTCACAATGAGGGATTGGTAATAATGAGTTGGAGATGATCGCATGAGGGACAGTTTGGCGAGACTCAGGATCATATATTTATTTTATTTATGATATTCAAACACAAACAAAATCAGAAGAGAAAATGTAACAGAAAATCGCAAGGAAATCAACTGAGAATTAAATCTTCAAAATAGTTGTCATATCTTTTTCTGATTAGAATGTGTTTCGACTAGATTTGCAAAACTTTTAGTTAGACTGAGGATCATATATTTATTTTATTTATGATATTCAAACACAAACAAAAACAGAAGAGAAAATGTAACAGAAAATCGCAAGGAAATAAAAATCAATTGAGAATTAAATCTTCAAAAAAGTTGTCATATCTTTTTCTGATTAGAAAGTGCTTCGAGTAGATTTGCAAAACTTTTTGTTAGACTGAGGATCATATATTTACGTTATTTATGATATTCAAACACAAACAAAAACAGAAGAGAAAAAATAACAGAAAATCGCAAGGAAATAAAAATCAATTGAGAATTAAATCTTCAAAAAAGTTGTCATATCTTTTTCTAATTAGAAAGTGTTTCGACTAGATTTGCAAAACTTTTCCGTTTGCAAGATTAATCTTTAGTTAGACTGAGGATCATATATATTTTATTTATGATATTCAAACACAACGAAACAGGAAAGAAAAAATAACAGAAAATCGCAAGGAAATAAAAATCAACTGAGAATTAAATCTTCAAAAAAGTTGTCATATCTTTTTCTAATTAGAACGTGTTTCGACTACATTTGCAAAACTTTTCCGTTTGCAATATTTGTTTTCAAACATTCGACAAAATAAATGAATCCATTTTATGGATGAGTTATGAGTTATGTAAGTCAACCAGTCGAAACCCAATCTAGTGTATTATTCTCTTGGTATTCTCTACCGATTTATCTGAAAATCTATTCAAACTATTCCATTGTCCTATATCATTATTGCCCCCTCTACTTTTGTGAGGATTATTTTCGTATCTCTAAAAAAGTAAGTTGGAGGTAAAAGAATACTTTGCGGCAATTGAAGAGGGCTTGATAAGAACCGAAAAGAACTGAAATCAAATCAAATCAAATAAGAGTAAAGTAAATAAATACGTTGATTGTATATGGTATAACATGTTAACATTTATTATTGACTACGTTTAATATCTGCAGCAGAGAAACGCATTTTGCAGTTTGCAGGTACTTAGTACTAGTTCTTGTTATTGTACGCTTGTCTATAAACTATAAACGACTATATATACACATATTGTTCACATATAGAGTATATATATGTATGTATAGAAGACATATATGAGAATTGGGGCTGGGCAAGGTTAGCGTTAAAGTGTTAATAAATACTAAGAGTTTTAGGCATTTGCATTATATATAATAATAAATACATCTCGAGTTTCGTATCGTATATATATATATATATATATAGACATATATATGCATGTATATGTATGTTTAGTTCTAAAGTAAAATATTGTAAGTAACCGATTTTGTTAGCCGCTGTTTTCCTGTTAACTTCTTAACTTGTTAACTTGTATTTTCTTTTTCTATATATTGTTTTTTCTGACTGTTCTTGACTGAACAGGGCCATGTTGTACATTCGCATTAGTTTTACAGCTATAATTATGTACTTAGTATTCGTATAGGCTATATATATATATGTATGTATGTATATCTGGTATTACGAGCTAAGGAGGCTAAGTAGTTAAGTCTTAGATAGGGTTAAATAGCACTTTATCGTCGCGTGGTTCATATCCATAAAATACTTGAGTAAAGATACAGAGAGTATACAGGCTAAGGTGTGTGTTATCTTTTGTTTTGTTTTGTTTTGCATCATTTTTGGTTTGTTCCCTCGAAATAGTATATATATATATGGTGTATATATATATATATGGTCATAGATTCAACAGCATTCAACACGAGATCAGGATCACGACTGCGCGGTGATCAGACAATCGGCACGCACACCCATTCCATCAGCCGGAACAGCAGCGAGCACAGCCAATTCTAGGCAGCCGTTGTCACCTTTGGCCCCACGCCAGGCGGCGCAGCGGCCGCCTCTGGCGACGACGTGGCCGAGGCTGAGGCCGAGACTGAGACTGAGCTGTCTGGCTGCTGCTCCAGCTGCTGCTCCAGCTGATGATCCGGCGAGGGACCAGCGATGCTGCTGCAGCTGCTGCTGGCCAGGGTCTGGCTGGTGCGCAGTTCGGGTGGCAGATAGATTTTGACTACGCTGGTTATCTTAACGCGGCAGTTGGGGCAGTTGTTGCACCTGTGAAGGATCAAAGTATGGCAATTAGTAAATAATTAATGAATTGATTAGTAGTTTGGCACTCACCTAGCCGCACACTGCGCACAGGCAATGACGTGACAGCAGGGATTGAACACGGTGTTGATCGCACGATCCATGCAGATCTTGCACTGCATGGCCTCGTGTATGCGATTGTCCACGCAGCGCTCAATCGCCGCCTCACGCGCCTCCTTCTCGCGTATGGCCAAATCTATCTTGCCGGCCATGGAACCGGCTGCATCCAGGCCGCCCGGCTCACAGCTGCTGGCATCATCGATGGCCGCCATCGCGGCCACATCGAAGCCGCGCTCGTGCAGCTTGCGGCGCGCCTGATCGTGCACCTCGCGGCACGTGTGCTGTATATCGAATACGTAGCGCTTGCCCAGCTCCGTGTCCTCCTTGAACATCGATGCAATGGTGCCCTTCAGATCTCGCGTAAACTGATTTGTCACCACGCAGCGCACCTTGTCGCACACGTAGAACGCATGCCGCTCCGTTATCGAGCGGTAGAGGCCGGCGGCAATCGGCTGCTTGGCCAGCTTTATCTCCAGCTCCTTCCGATCGTTGTGGTCGTCCACATACTCCAGCTTAAACGTGCGCCTCAGCGACTTGGCAGCGGCAATGGCACTGAACGGGATGCTGCAACAGACAAATCACAACATATTCAATATAGTTTATTGCTCAACAAGCTTTAAGCTTTTCAAGCTTTAAGAAGGTGCTTACAAAGCTCCGAACTATTTTTAATTGTTGTTGAAATATCCATGGAAAATACTTAAACAGAGTTAAACAGATATGCGAAAGCTCAGTTAAGCTTTTCTTGTCGTACCTTACACTTGAAGCTTTAATAAGCTTGCAAAGCTTTCAACTGATTGATTAAATATTGTAAAAATAATCATAAAATAAGATGAAAATAACTTGAATAAAGTTAAAATAATATATAAAAGCTCAATGACTACCTTTAACTGATACGTAAGCTTATTAAGTTTGAAAAGACTTGAGCTTTTCTGTGCGTTAAGTGCACTTTAAGCTTTAACACACTTGGAAATATTCATAAAATAAGATGGAAAACTTGAAACTTAAGCTTAAAGATTATTGCAAAGTCCTGAAATATTTTTAATTAATCTAAAAATTGTCATGAACAATGCCAAAAATACTTGAATAGAGTTATGCAATTGATCTTTTTTGTGCTTTAAATGCACGTTAAGCTTTAATATGCTTATAAAGCTCCGAACTATTTATTATCTTATGTGGAAATAATCATAGGATAAGATGAGAAATACTTAAGCTAATGAGAGAAAGTTCAATTGGGCTTTTTCTCTTGCCTATATTCCACTTTAAGCTTTAATATGTTTTTCTTGATTTTTTTGATTTTTAAAGCTAATATAATCTTTGCTAGAGCTTCTGTCTGAGCTTTCAAAGCTTTGTATTACATAAAAATGGAATATAATCAGAGCAGGACTTAGGCATAAAAAACTAGTTGGCAAAAGCTGGCAGCACGGCCTGCTTGGACTTCTTTTAAGGTACGGGAGCTCACCTTTCTTTTTCGTCCCCGCGAATGACGGTGATGCCATGGGCGCCCACTGCGATGTCGCAGCGGGTGGCGCTCTCGTTGGTGGTGAGGCCGCTGAAGAGCTCCTCGCCGTAGCCGCTGAGCTCCTGGATCTCACGCAGTAGCCAGTACTTGGCCGACTTGGGCGGCATCGGCAGCTTGGCCAGCTTGCTGTGCTCGGTGGCAATCTGGCGCAGAAAGTCGCCCGGGGGCTCGCTGTCGCAGGCATTGGGTAGGATCACGTATTCCTCGTACATGCGCAGCGGATTGCTGGCGAGGCGCTCGTCCAGGCCCGAGTGGCTGCTGCTGCTGTTGCTGGGGCTGCTCGAGCTGGAGGCGGATGCGGAAACTGACGCTGACGGCGATGGCTGCAAGTTGTTGGGACTGGCGACGATCGTCGTGGTGGGCGCGGCAAGGGCACAGCACTCGATGTGCTCGACGGACTTCTGCTTGGAGAGGCGGCGCTTCTTGAAGCTGAGCACGTGCTCCTTCTCCTTGCGCTGCTGCTCCAGCTTGTGCTGCTGCTGCTGCGCCAGCTGCTGCTGGGCCAGCTCGCGGCGCATCCGCATCGGGCACTCGGCGCGCAGCGCCTGCTCATTGAAGCGCAGCCCATCCGCCTGGCAGAGCAGCGCCGCCAGCTTGGCCGCATTGCTCCAGTCGTGAGCGCACAGCCGCGCCTCCAGCAGATCCCTGCGCGCCTGCATATAGAACAGATTCCGCACGCTCTCCTGCAGTATGCTGTGCACGGGCACCCAGAATTTCACGCGCATCGCTAGCATCAGCTGGACGCCGCTGCCGCTGCTGCCGCTGTCGCCGTGCAGGCGGTTCCTCAGGTTGTACCATTGACGGGTGCGGGACTCCTTCTGGTTGGGCGTCCACGGCTCCAGGCCGAAGTACTCCATCTCACAGATGATGCCCAGTCCCTTGCATACCTGCAAAGCAAACAAATGTCCACATTTAGTTGAGGTTTATATATAAGAAGCATAAAAACTTATAATTCCCAACGTGTTATAGCGCTAGACAAGCTAAAGGGCAGTTGATAATATCTTGTGTATGTAATATACCAATCGATTCTTCAAAGCGATTAACGAATTAATCAGTTGTTCACATTTAGTTGAGGGTATAAATGAAGCAAAAATACTTATAATTCCCAACGTGTTATAGCGCTAGACAAGTTAAAGGGCAGTTGATGCATTACTAATCGATTCTTCGAAGAGAATAACTTATCTGTTCAGATACGTTTTGCGTCGTTTAATCTAATGGAGAAATCTCTCGACTGCTTTTAAGCTGAATGCCTTGAAAGGAAAACAACCTAAACGCTTTCCGAAGCTTATCAGCTGAGCTTGTCAGCTGCGACTGCTGGGAACCAGTCGACAATGTCCTGTCAGTTGTCCTGTCTGTGGACTTGTCAAATCCAACATCGTTGCTATGACAGCACCCAACGACAACTGCGTCTGGCAGGATGTGTGTGTGTGGGCGTGTGTGCGTGGGCGTGTGGGCGTGGAATGAGGGAGGATAAGGCCTCGGAATATTTGCTTATGCAACGAGTGTGTCATCATTGCGAATGGAACGAATTCAAATGTTTGCTGCACGTCAGCCTTGACAACAACAACAACAACAACAGCTCCAAGGATTCTGCTTTCGAGTCGCCTGGAACTGACTAAGGAATATCCTGTCAAGTCAAGAGATTAACCCAAAGGAAGTATGACTATACTTAAAGACAAGTTATTGTAAAACGAATTTGTTTTTAATCAAAGGACTTTTAATTGAATTTGTTTTTTTCAGTAAAGAAGACCCTTTCAGCTGATATACCCCATTGACAGCGTCAACTAATGGGTATAAGCCCAATCGACTACGAAAACGACAACATAACCAACTGCAAATCAGCAAAGTCCACGCGTTCACGATGCTGTACGTTTGATTTAACTGGCAGCCATCCAGCGTGGCATGCCACGCAACCCCCCCCCCCCCACCTCCTCCCCCTCCACCCCCTCCACCTCTCCACCACTCTCTCCATCCCCTAGCGCTGCTTGCACCAGTTGCACGCGGGGGCGAGTTGCTTGGGTCAGCAGCGATGGCAAAATAAAATGAAATTTGCACAGCTCACACAAATTCCAACAACAATTTCTCAGTTGTGTCAACACGCGCAGAGGCCCTCCGTCCTCCGTCCTCCTCCTGCTTTCCACCCAAGCACCCGACCTGCCCCTGGCCCAACAGCACTTTGCATAATGAGGCAACTTGTGAGCCAAGAGGCATGCCGCCAGGTAGGCAGCAAGGCAACAAGTTGCTCCCAAGGAGTCACGCGTCAGCGCCTCGCACATTTTCACTTTCCAATTAGACAGCCGCAGAATTTCAGATGAACCTTGTGTGTGTGTGTGTGCGCGTGTGTAAGTGTGTGTATGTGGGCGTGGCTGGAATTAGCCCTGGCAAAATGTGCGCACAAATAAAAACTTGTGAACAAATCCCGGGCACATTGGCATTCACAATTATTGAGTGAATCCAATAAGAACCTACTCTTAATTCAAATTGGATATTCGAATTTAATTTGCCTCTCTACTAAACCAATTGGAACTAGTGTTACAGGGTATCTGACAGCGAGTCATTGTGTTCATAAGAACTAAAGACTTATTTTAGCGTTAATTAGAAATATTTTGTCCATTCGCAAGGAAATTCTTTCATTTAATAAAACCAATTAGCAAGAGAGAATTATTTAAGAGATTAAAGGAAAGTTGCTTTTATTATTATTATGTAATAAATATTTATCTATGGTATTAATGTGCTAATTTATTTATACAATAGTTTATTATTATTTGCTATTATTATTTGTTGCGCAAAGCAGGACAGGTGTTTATCTGGAAATGCTAACGTAATTGGATTTATTTCCCCAATTATTTTGTTATGGACAGTTATCTAACTAATTGGTTAAGTTCACGATAAATATTTAATTATTTTGATGCCAATAAAGCGGATTTACAGTTGCTTCGAATTGTCAATCAACTGTGCAGACATTTCACATTTCGATTGTTCGAATTCTTTGATTGACGTAGGTTCTCGAGAGGCTTCATTAGATGCAGCGCTGCTCACGGCCCTGGCAACAGCAGCAGCAACCGCAACAACAACAACAACAACAGCGAGCAGCAGCCCTGAAAGCGACAACCCTGGGCGAGACTTCCACTTCCGCCGCAAAATGTGGGAGGGATGACAATGTATAGAGAGATGACTGAGAGATTGTGTTTGGGACTTGAGCTACAAGTGGCAAGGCGCTGCAGGTTGCCAGGGCGAGTTGCATGTAAATCGATCTGCCAACTGGATTATGCGTAATTAATTGCGTTTTGCATGTGAGACAACCGGCACTTGCCCCCCCCAACCCCCAACCCGCCCGCAAGGCAACTCGCAACTGTCAACGGCATTTGGCAGCTTAATTAGTCGATTGTATTTGAGTCCCATTCACGAGTGCATTCACGAGTCGTTAGCACGATGACTGAACTCTTGATTGCGAATTCGACACAGATGAAAACTGTAATTGAGTTAATAGATGCCAAGTTAAAGGCGAGCAATAATTACAAAGCCATACTCAGAAGATGATTAGTAAAGATGGAATTCCATTTAAAAACTAAACAAATTATAGATAAATTTTCAGTTGAAAAACCAGAACCAATTTTGGCATTTTTTCTAATATTAATCTAGAACTAATCAAGTTTAATGTTCGGTTCGTAGCCAAAAAGCCAAATCAAATAAATTGTCCAAATTGTTTCAGTTGTATTCGTTTCTTGTCTTTAGGAATGTTGCCTATGTCATTTATTTTTAGATTCTACATGAAATGAAAATTTCGATAAAATTACGAAAATTAATCTTGTACATAATATAGTTTTGGTAACATGTCGAAAATATTTAAATACTGTTCCTGCTCGCAATTATAATTATTAAGCATTTCGCATTGTTGTTGGTTTTTTTTTTGAGCGCGAAACGTGGCAAATGGCTGAAAGGTAACGGCAACAACAACAACAATTGCTAAATCCATTCAACACAAAAACGTTGCCGTCGACTGCGACGGCGACGGCGACTGCGACGTCGCTAGCGAAGGTGCAAAGTCCACAATATATATGTATATGTATATATATTTTGTTCGTTTCGTTTCGCTAAAATTAAATAAAATGCGAATCGCATCAAAGCAAATGCGAAACGTGAACTTATTTTTTTCTCAACAAAAGCCGGTGACAGCTGTGTGTGTGTGTGTGTGTGTGTGTGTGTGAGCGTGTGTATGTGTGAGTTTAACTACATCTATGGAGGAGGGGGCATTTCAAAGGCGTACGGATTGGGCGCGGATAACAAAAGCTGCATAATTTGTATACAATTTGTAGCAAGATTGTATAATGCCACGCCCGCTGTGTGGGCGTGTGACGTCAGCACCAGCAGCAGCAGCTGCAGTGATTCCTATCTCATTCGAAAATTGAACAGTGCCCCGAAGGTGACACAAATTGAAATGAAAATATTGCCCCACGGGGCCGTCACAGTCACAATTTGGCATTTATTGCATTTCGTAATATGTACATGTGCCTTTACACATACATACATGTATGTAGGCACATATAAATGCCATGAAATGTTTGTTGTTGTTGTTACTGGGGCTGTATAATTTTATTTAGTCCGTAAAAAATAAACAAAATTACCAGCAACAGTCTCTGCTAAGGCAAAGTTATTAACTTTTTAACATGCAATCAACAGACGCGGACGCATGTTTTAAAAGTTTCAAGAGCCCCAATCTTAAGAGAGCTGCAGTCAAGAGAGTTGCGGACGGCGTTACAACTGTTCACAAAGGTAAACAAAACGGAGCAAGCAAAAAAAAAATACAAGTGCTGCTGAGGGGAGCGAGTAAGAGAGTGTTGCTCTCTGCAGCAGCAGCAAACACAAACAAAATTGTAAACGAGTGCGAACGAGAGATGGAGGTGGGGGCTATGACTCGCACAACATGCTGGCCGGATGAGCAGAAAACCCGACCATTGCATTCGAATTGGACTTTGGACTCGTGCCTCTGAAATGCCGTTTGGACTTTGGACTCGCATTCGTACAGTGAATGTTAATGTTGTTTTTGTTGCTTTTGGTGATCGGTAGCGATGCTTTTGCTTGTTATGTTTGTGTTTTGTGTGTTCTGCTGTCTTTGCCGTTTGTTGTGGTTGTTGATAAATCGCCATAATTGAAAATATTTTAAGCGGTACAAACAAATCAGAGACTGAGAAACGAACAAGTGCCATATGATGCTTGAAAACAGTAACTGAACGATGCGTCGCAGCTTTGCTCTGCCAGCAAGTGACGTCAGCTGAAGCAGTGCTCGCCGGCTATGGACTTTGCACTCTAAATTACTGTTGGTCTCCGTCTGTATTAACGTGCGTACACACATGTATAGAAATATCTACATATATACGCATTCAAGTGGAAAGCCACACTTGCAATTGAAACTAATTTTAAATGCTCGTTTTCCTTATCACCAAGCAACAAAATATTTTATTTATGCGCTTAAAATGCATTTTGATGGCCACACATGGCGTAAGCGTCGGCATTTCGAAACGATTGCAGCTAAGTAGAAAAGAATGTTAGCAGTAAGAGAGCGTGGGTGAAAAATTAGGCGGGGACATACATATCTACATATTTATGTACAAATAACTGTAAAGACCTCCAAGTAAACATACATACATATGTATGTAAGTATGTGCATTTTAATGTACAAGCTAACTGTATACATGCTCATCTTCAGTCGGATCTGATGGTGCTCACGTCGCCGTCGCCGTCGCCTAATCGTGCTTGACACGTTGGCGGTTTAACATTGTTCAACTCTCTCAGCGCCTTATAAAATGAAAATAAAATAAATAAATACACAGCAAAAAGGCAAAACGAGCGGCAGACACAGCCGCTGAAAAGACCCCCATAGATGGTT